GGCCATAGTGCGGCTGGAAGGATTAGGTAAATTGAAAAAATCCAGTGATCTCATCGGGACTTGAACCTGCGACCTTCCGGCTTGTAGCATAGCCACTAAACCATCTACGCTACAATATGGTTATATAAAGGTTTTTATATTGGGGGTTCTCCTTTATATTAAATCTTTTTCTAGATACAAAACCATCTTAGTGCCTCAGCCTCTCTAAATACGAGTATTCACAACCGTATACAGCCAGAATTTGTCCATTATATCCGAAATCTGTTATATGCCGGTCCGTTATATCGTGGCCCCTGATCCCATCTCAACGGCATAATTCAGAAATCCCTCCCATTAGTAATAACCATCATTGTAGATACTCAAATTGCTGAGGCAATTCCTTTATACTACTCGAACTCCTGCACCAGTTTTCATGAAAATTTGCATGTGTGCCATGCCACAATAATTAGTTTCAACAGCGTACTTCATAAATCCCTGTTATCAGTAATACCAACACTGAAACCTCACAAGCTGTTGAGGTATAATTTAAATTCTTAAATCTATGCCATGAAAATTGTTATGAAAACTATACCATATACACTTTTAGCAAATCTCATAAAAACGAATATAACGGCCGTCCAATTCTTGATGTGAAGCCATAAGCTTGAGGCACTATACTACAAGCCGGAAGGTCGCGGGTTCAAGTTCCAATGAAGTCATTGGATTTTTTTCAATTGACCTAATCTTTCCAGCAGCACTATGGCCCTGGGGTCGAATCAGCCTCTAACAGAAATGAGTACCAGGAATATTCTTTGAATATTCTTGGGGATAAAGGGCGGCCGGAGCATAGGGCTGACAACCTTACCGCCATCTGTGAGCCGATTGTCTGGAAAATGTGGGAACCTCAACATCTCACAACCCTATGGGCCTCCACGGCCTGTTGGAGGGATGCCTTTACTTACTTACTTTTACTTTTCTTACATATATATTTCACATAAATATTGGAATGTTGTTTATGAAGTAACAGACGCCTTGCAGGAATATATTTTCTTCTAGCCTTAAGAGCTCTGTAACTGACTTTGGGTATCATTTTTTGCTGTTCTCAGACAAAGTGTCAATCATTGTTGCCCGTTGGTCCTCGTACAATTTACAGTCCCAGAAGATATGTTCCTCCGTTTGCAGCCCGTCACCACATTCGCAATCGGCTGTGGACACAATATTTAAAGGTTATTAAAACTATTTCATAAGTGTATAAAAAATATTGTAAATACAAAAAAGGGCTAGGCAGTGCCCATCCGCCCTTTTGTAGCAGATTCTCAACAGGTTACGGGTCCACAGAGTTTGTTCTCCCCTCTAACGGCAAGCTTTGAAATGAACTCACAGTAGTGTTGAAAATAACTGCTAGATGGCGAAATGGCGAGCTTGGCGAATACGGGTGGAAGCAAACTGCACAGGCTTAGTGGTGTGCATTAACCGCGGACAAGTGATTAGTTGTGTTTCTAACAGAACATCATACCTGGCACAACTATCCATATTATCCAAATTCTGTGTGTCCCCCGAGATCAGAGTTATGGTGACTTTGGTTCTCATTGCACGTCGAAATCCGACTTCAGCAAATTATAATTATCACGTGATGATCTACGTCAAGGGTCTCCAAACTACGGCCCGCGATGTGATTTTATTCGGCCCGCGAAAGAATCGTGCAGAAATGCGCCAATTGAATTAATTTTCCAATGAGTACTGGTAAATGTGATTCCGAGCTTATTGACCTGACATATTACACTGCAGTTCGATGGCTTAGCTGTGGAAAGGTTCTTTCGCGCTTCTTTCAGCTCAGGAATGAAATTGATATATTTCTTACCGAGAAAAACCATCACGAACCACTTTTATCAGATACCGAGGGGCTTTGGAAATTAGCATTCTTTGCTGATCTGGTGAATCATATGAACCATTTGAATTTAAAGTTGCAGGGTGAAAATAACTTAGTCTGTGATTTATTTGCACTTATCAAAGCGTTCAGAGCAAAGTTGATACTGCTGGAAAGCCAAGTGAAAAATTGTAA